TTGGAACCTCGAGCCCACCTCCAGCTTGCCAAGGCCCGTCAAGGAGAAGGAACTGCGGCGCCCAGCATCTAGGCCTCAGGTGGCTTGGGTTCGCCTGCGCGCAATCTGCGGTCTGGGACTGTGACAACGGAGAATGATGTCACTCGCCGTCCCTTCCCTGCACATCATCGCTGGCCTCCCATGCCATGCGATGCCACTCACGGCGGCCCAAGCAACCAGCCTCAAGTAGGAAGCCTGATTTCTTCCTTGGCTCGTTGTTCGACTCAGCAGTTACACTCTCAATCATGTACATCAAGCATGAACAAACTACAGTACAAGTTTGGAAACACAGTTTCCACGATACATGAACGATGAACGAAGCCCGAGCACGGGAAGGCACTGGTAACCGCCAAGTGTCTGTACACCTTCAGCGACGAGTTTGCCCCGGCGCCATCTTTGTAAGCATCTGCACCGGCCGCCTTCCAGCTGGTGGCACCCAAGGTAGCAACTCGGAACAGATCTGTGTGAAGAATCAACATGGGCAACTGCGTCTATTCGTGGTTGGACCTGCCCCCTACAACATCCTACATACCTTCATCTACCCAAGTTTTGGTTGTGGCTTTGTTTCTTGCCCCTGCAATCAAAAAAACTGGCGGCGACATGGCAACTCTTCCCCCCCCAAAGCCCGAAAAAGCACCATTCATGGCTATCGAAACCAAGCGTGTACCAGGACCTATGATCACGATCTTGGCCTTTGAGACAACGGTACGGCAGATCTGTGGCGTTTGACTCTATTAAGAAAAAAAAACGCTGGTCATCCTCTTAGTTGCCCCTTTCGCAACAGCCCCGCCTTGCTGGGCTCCCGAAGATGCAGCTTCCAGGGCGACGGTACGGCTTCCCAATAGTCTCCCTGAACGTGGCACTCTCCCTCTGTTCTGACGATGGCTGTGTGCTCAAGCTAGCTGGGCCCTTCTGGGAATCCTAGCTTGCCACGTCTTCTGGTTTGGCGTTCAGTTTGCAAAAGCTCAGAGCGTTCCATGTCTCGCTCCCATTTCATCGCAACAGAAAGTTCTGCTCTCAGGGCATAAACACAATTGAGGACACCCTATGCTGAAGATACAGTCGGCGTCATGTCTTCCGGAATCTTGTCCAGTGTAGGAATTACTCTGACGTTGCATCAAACATGCTTTGTCTCCCCAAACGGCAGCTTTTTTGGTCTTCGTTGGGTCAGCGACTCTGAGTTTGATGCACCACAAGCAAACGCGCCAAACCCAGAGTTCAAAATTGAATGCCATCACAAGCTCATGGATTACATCCCTAGGTGTAGTGGCTTGTGGTATTGGTGGCGCAAAAGAATCTCTGTGTGTAATGACCCCAATGCCGATGCTTTAATGTTTTGCAGTGGAAACTATGGTCAACAGTAAAAGAATTCCGGGTCATTCACAATAGTTCGCAGGGCCGGTGTCCTCTGCAATTTGACTCTGCGCCTGGATGTGCGGCCCTGCTCTGTCAACCTGATTGCCACCACTTCGGGGCCTCAGCACGCCAAAGGCATGAGCGGATCTGTGCTGGACCAGGGGCTTGCTGGAAACTTGCTGAACAAATGGCTGCCATTTAAACTTAAACACTGCACGTGGCAAACAACCAGAGTGGTCCTTGCCGCGCCCGTTCTGACTGGGACTGTACCCTGGCCCTAGCCGTGGCGCCCCTTTGGAAATGCCGTGCCCCACACGAAACCCTGGAAATGCGGCGATTTGAGAAGTCTGAGATCCGTACCTCCAGCAGCGCTTGAAAAAGCGCTTCCATCGAGATTTGAAGATGTCCCGCGGAAGCGGCTTCCATAAGCCTGTGCCAAGCCACTCCCGAACAGAAAGCAGTTGGAGAGACAGGGCGCACCCATATGCCCTCCGCGCGGCATGATGGCAAAGTTGAAGGAAGCAAGTGGATCTTCACAGCAAATGTCTTTGGGTCAGGCATGGGCTGGTTTGGGCATTCTTGGCAGCCTCTCAGACTCTGGAGTGCTGTTCCCCACTGTTTCTGATGTCTTGCTCTCAGCTTGAGCCCAGAAGCCGCGCATCATATCTTCACAAAGATTTGAGAAGCTTTGTGACTGCAAGTCCCATCTCACTCGAGAGAACTGGTAAGATATGTACACGTTCAGGCTACTGAGCTACTGGGTGCACCACGACTGTACAGCACTAGCACTGGCTATGCCCCATCAGCCCATCTGCCTGACCTCTCAAAAGCTGCCAAGCCAAAATACACTCTACAAAGCTACAAAGGGTTGGTTTCGTGTTGGTTTCCCTCAGGAGACCCCAAAACAGGGTCCGGCATGAATTCCCATTTTAGACACATACCTACACGAGTACACACATGCAGAGACCAAGCCTGCCCGGTGACCATTCCTCCTTGATTCTCAAAGGAGGAGCCGTCGCGGCAAATGACCTCGGCTGTTCCGACTGCAAAGTGAAAGTGGCCTAGGCCGAAATGGTCAAACATCTTCAGGGCTCACATTTCAACATGCCGCAGACTCTTCTCGGCCCAAGCCTTTGCTGCGCCAGTGGCCGAGCCAGTGAGCATGCCTCCGCGGAGCAGCACTCTGGAGCCCATCAAGTGGAGGCTTCCTCGCCGAAGGGAAGGTGGAGTTCTTCTATGCGAAAGACGATGCTGGAATCAGTTAACTTGCATCCCCGCAAAAGCGACAAATCATGACTGCTTCTTTGGGGACCGCCATGGACCGCCCCTAAGAAACCAGGATCCAACAGACAGGCCCAATAGTTTTGGCAACTGGGCTGAAACGAGCCCGGGGAAGGTAACGAGGCCTGTGACCATGCAGTTGTCGAGGACCAGGTCAGAGTTGACCAGGCGCACAGCCCCCGTGATCATCCTGATTGCTAATGCTTAGCCGCGGCAGGTGGGTGTTGTATTCCCAAGGCACATTTCTGCCGAATGTCTAGAACCCGGCATCCCGGTTTGAACGGACTTCAAGCAAAGCCAAACATTACGGGGCCCGGCTGGTTTTTTCACTTTGCCCAATGGGGAACCCTCACCTTCCATGGCGTGGTTCCTTCTGGCTTTCCTTACATGCGAAGAGGATAGACAGCAGCAACTACTTTCAGATACCAAGATCCTGGCCATTGCGTCAGGTGACGACGTTGGCTATGCATCTCCAGAGGATGCACGTGGAAGCCGCCAACCTAGCCGTGGACATGATAGCCGAAAATCGGCCATGGCAAAATTAGGGACGCTTGCGATAGTTGGTCTAAGAGTCTTGTGTGTCATGCGAACACGAATCGCTAGGCTCTCGCGCACACGCGCACACACACACACACACACACACCACACCACACACACACACACACAACACACACACACAAACACACACACAACACACACACACACACACACACACACACACACACACACACACACACACACACACACACACACACACACACACACACACACACACACACACACACACACACACACACACACACACACACACACACACACACACACTTGTGTCGTCAGCATGAAACACACACACACACACACAAAAAAAAAAAAACATGCACGCACGCATGCACGCACGCACGCGCGCGCGCACACACACACGCACACGCACACGCACACGCACACGCGCACGCACACGCACACGCACACGGACACGCACACGCGCACGCACACGCGCACGCACACGCGCACGCACACGCGCACGCACAGGCCCAGGCACAGGCACAGGCACACTCACACACACACACACGCACACGCACACGCACACGCACACACACACACAAACACAAACACAAACACACACACACACAGACACACACACACACAGACACACACTGGCGCGTACGTGTTTGCAACCTGGGTGGCACTTTGCCGGGGAAAAGTGGAGGACTCCAGTGGAGGACCCACATTTTTGATTGCAACCCGCTCGCAGGTTGGGCCTCGCTGGGAATGGCATCAGACCAGTGCGCGCCAGGCCTTAGATGTGACTCGGGATGACCAACACTTGACCTGCACCCCGAAATTCGCGTTGGACTTTGGGCGCCCATTCGGTTTACCGTTTGCCCAAACAAGCCCGATACCCAACCAAAAGCGCAACAAACCCCCCACGAATGGCCGGTTTAGATTTGAGGAAGCAACCAAACAGGGTCAGCCTTCGGCATGCAGCCTCGACACACCTCTCTGCGTGAGCCATGAGCATGTGCCTCTGGCTGCTGCTGATGCTGTTGATGCCGCGGATGCAAATGCTGTTGCAGCCGCTGATGCATCTGATGCAAATTCTGTTGCAACTGGTGCACATGCTGCTGCACCTGCTGGTGCTGGCTGTGGAAATTCTGATGCAACTGACTCGAGCGTGCTTGCAGTTGCTGGAATGACTGCTGCATCTGTCGATGTGCATGCTGGCAGTGCTGATGTATATGTTGGCTAATCTGATGATGGAACGGTGGAACCTGCGCAAATTGCTGGTGATAGTTCTGCTGATGATGATGCTGCGGATGATGATGATGATGCTGCTGCTGATCCAAGTGCCTCTCATGTGAATGCAGCTGCTCGTTGTGGATCTGGTGGTGCCAGCGGTTGTGCATTTCCTGATGCAGCCGTGCGACTTCCTCGACAGTTTGGCCTGGTGCAGGGGTCGCGTCTGCCATTGCCACGTCTGCCGCGTCTGCCGCGTCTGCCGCGTCTGCCGCGTCGCATCTGGTGGATGCCGTCGAATCTGCGGAGCGGGGTGACGGCGGTGACGGCGAGTCGGAAGGCGACGGAGCCGCGGCGCTCTGCACTGCCGCGCTCTCTCGAAGCTCCAGTCTCACCACGTCGCCTGCCAGCGCCTGGCTCAAAGTCTCCGGCGTCAGGGCATGTGCTGCCCCGTCCAGCACCACCAGGGCCTCTCCCTCATATCCACCCGGAAGGTGCTGCAACTTCTGCAGAATGAGGTCCAGTGTAGGAGTTTGTGTGTCCATTCGGAAGCGGAACATCTCCCCGCCCTTCTTGATCTTCAACACTGCCATGGTGAAAGCTCCCGGCCTTACGCCTATGCTATCTGTAGGGATATCGAGCCAAAGAACTGCCAAACTCATAGCAAGCAAAGAATCTCGCAACTAAGCCAGAAAAAGCACATGCCGGATTCCTGGACCAGTCTCGTCGCATGATCTTCGAAACTGCTCGTCGACCTGCATCTTTCTCCTCAGGCTGACTTGTATCAAGCATAAGCCACAGCGCACAGCGCATCTTCCTGCTCAATCATTCTGCATGATGCGAAGGAAATCACTGCAAGGAACATGGAGCAACCATAGAAAAACGGTGTCAGTGCGTCTGAGCAGGCCCCTTCAAGTCACCGATGTCTAACGAGCCGCCAGCGCTGAAATCTCAAAGATGTTCAGGTCCTTCCAGTACACCTGCGCAAGATGTTGCTGTCACAACCTCCTGGCACTGCAGGCTGCGAAGCATAGGCATCTTAAACAGCACAGACTGAGCCTGGCCTTGACAGGACCTCTGAACCTGCTAAAGACGTAAAGGGACAGTACAAGCGTCACTGCATTTCCCTTCAAAAGTTGATGGTGGATTCCAATGAAACTGCCCCCTTGTGGAGGTGCAGAACAGGGGGATTGAGGGACGCCCTGTAGGATGGGGAAGTGTGGCCGAAGCCTTCTGGCAACAGGCCTGCCTCAGCAGAAATCAAGAGCCGGTCCAGCATGCCCTCAGTCCGTTCCATGGACATCCAAGGCTCCCCATCTTCCAAAGTGACTGTTCCTCCAAATGGGGAAACTTGTCCCTGCAATCTGTATCCAAATATCATGGTTGCTCTGGAACCACACTCTGTCATGGCTGCTGATGAGTTGATGAGCTGTAAGAATCAAAGGCCGGCACTTTGGTCTCTAGTCTGTCCAAGAGGTCTACAACATTGCGGTACTCCTGGGCCTGGTGCAAAGCAGCTGTGCAAACGGGAGGTTGCCAAGACTGGCGAGGGAGTCTTCAAAGGAGGTCTTAGAAGGATTCATGATTTTGACACCCACCCAAATAGCCGTGTCCAGAAATTGTGGAATCCTTTTTGGATGGTGAAAGGAAGAAACCAGTCCGGAAATGCCAATGCCCGGCGGGTCTTTGAGACGAGAGTCCCCGTTGCTTTTTACTGGTCCGGGAGCCCGCCTCAACAAGGGCCTTGAGCTTGGGGTTGATGTACCTACACAGCTCGCAGCTGCCAGCGCCACTGAAAATGTGGGAACCCCTCACATGGATGGTTTCATATGGCTTCCCTTTGCATTGTTTTGTGGATGGATGAGGCCGGAGAGTCATGTTCTCGGCGGACCCTCTATATCTCTCGCCCTTCTTGAGCTTGGTGACCTTCACGGATGGAGGCGGCACCTGGACGAGCTCTCACTTCAGAGTTACCCTGCTTGAGGTGACTTGTGAGTCGGAACTCAAAGGCAAACCAACCATGGGGAATGACCCGATTTGGCATTCTGGTGATAAATTGAGAGAGTAAAGAGAGCCTCTCACTTTGGCATGACAGCGAATTCTTCTTTTTTGCTTGGGGAAAGATCCCCGTCATCAGAAGGCTTTCCGGGCATACAAGATAGACGTGCTTCCAGCTATCAAGCATCTATCTGCTGGAAAGAAGCGTCCACTGTTTACAGTAACTCCTTACCGTTGCACAACATAGAAAATAAGTCTCTCGTCTTCCTCAACCGCAAGTCACTTGTTTCGCCAGCTTCATGGCCACATTTCCTGTCGCTGCTCCCGAGGCAGTGGCCCTTTTCGTCAATGCTGAACCGGTCTTCTTCTTGATCGCCTTGGCCAGTGAGGTTCGGAAACAGACATTTGCCTCCGTAGGTCGGGGCAGCGAGTCCACACTTCGGTGCACGCACACACAAGCCACGGACGAAACTATCCGTTCCGCCAGAAGCATCGGGGAATTGGGTGCCGGCCCCCATTTTGTGCGGAAACTGGGACCGCAGACTAGCAGTATTATCGTCAGTTGTTCAAATCCATGCGCATGGCCTGATACTTAAGTCCGCCGACAACAGACGGCGTGTTGGACATAAAAAATGCTCCTTACCTCTTTACCTGTTACCCCTCCCCTAACCCCCCCCCAGGGGCACCATTTCAGACTACTGCGGGGGGGGGGGGGTCCACGTACCACGCGGTGATAACTCTTTCTCGGGGGGAACAGGCCCTAAGGGGCAATGGGGGGACAGGATCTCAAACGGGAAAGGGGGAAAAAGACTTTGGGAAGAGAAGGGTGGAGATCTTGGGGGGAAAGGCCTTAGGGGGGAAACGGGGGAAAGGATCTTAAGCGGGAAAGGGGGGAAAAGATCTTAGGGAGGCAAAGGGAGACGAACTCAGGGAAAAGGACTTAGGGAGGAAAGGGGGGGAAAGATCTTTGGGAGGAAAAGGGAGAAAAACTAAAGTGTGGGAAAAGGCCTTAGAAGGAAAAGGGGGGAGATAAATAATCTCAACAGGGAACTGGGGGGGGAAAGATCTTAGGGAGGAAAGGCAGAAGATCTGGGGCAAAAAGGCCTTAGGGGGGAAAGGGGAGAAATGATCTCAACAGGGAAAGGGGTGGAAAAGATCTTAGGGAGGAAAGGGAGAAGATCTGGGGAAAAAAGGCCAACAGGGAAAGGGGGGAAAAGATCTCTCAACAGGGAAAGGGTGGGAAAGATCTTAGGGAGGAAAGGGGGGGGAAGATCTTAGGGAGGAAAGGGAGAAGATCTGGGAGAAAAGGACTTAGGGGGGAAAGCCCAACAGGGAAAGGGGGGAAAAGATCTTAGGAAGGAAAAGGGAGAAGCTCTCAGGGGGGGGAAAGGCCTTAGGGGGGAAAGGGGGAAAAGGATCTCAGCAGGGAAAGGGGGGGAAAGATCTTAGGGAGGAAAGGGGGAAGATCTGGGGACAAAGGCCTTAGGGGGGAAAGGGGAGAAATGATCTCAACAGGGAAAGGGGTGGAAAAGATCTTAGGGAGGAAAGGGAGAAGATCTGGGGGAAAAAAGGCCAACAGGGAAAGGGGGGAAAGATCTAAGGAAGGAAAAGGGAGAAGCTCTCAGGGGGGGAAAGGCCTTAGGCGGGAAAGGGTGGGAAGGATCTCAACAGGGAAAGGGGGGAAACAATCTTAGGAAGGAAAAGGGGGAAGATCTGGAAAGGCCTTGAAGGGAAGGGGGGAAAGGATCTCAACGGGGAAAGGGGGCAAAGGATCTTAAGGAGGAATAGGGAGAAGATCTCAGCGGGGGGAAAGGCCTTAGGAAGGAAAGGAGGGAAAGGATCTCAACAGGGAAAGGGGGGGAAAGATCTCAGTGAGGAAAGGGAAAAGATCCCAGGCAGGGAAAAGGCCTTAGGGGGGAAAGGGGGAAAGGATCTCAACAGGGAAAGGGGGCAAAGGGTCTTAGGGAGGAAAAGGGAGAAGATCTGAAAAGGCCTTAAGGGGAAAAGGGGGAAAGGAGCTCAACAGGGAAAGGTGGGAGAAGATCCTAGGGAGGAAAAGGGAGAAGATCTCGGGGGGAAAGGGGGAAAGGATCTCAACCAAGGGAAAAGATCTTGGGGAGGACAAGGGAGAAGATCTCAGGGGGGGAAAGGCCTTCGGGGGGAAAGAGGGGAAAGGACCTCAACAAAAAAAGGCAAAGGATCTTAGAGAAGAAAAGGGAGAAGATCTTGGGGGGGAAAACGCCTTAGGGGGGAAAGGGCGGGAAAGGATCTCAACAAGGAAAGGGGGGAAAAGATCTTAGGAAGGAAAAGGGGGAAGATCGCGGGGGAAAAAAAGGCCTTAGGGGGGAAAGGAGGGAAAGGATCTCAACAGGGAGAGGGGGAAAAGACATCGTAGGGAGGAAAAGGGAAAAACTCAGAGGAAGAAAGGGCCTTCGGGGGGAAAGGGGGAATGGATCTCAACAGGGAAAGGTGGCAAAAGATCTTAGGGAGGAAAAGGGAGAAGATCTCGGGGGGGAAAGGCCTTAGGGGGGAAAGGGGGAAAAGGATCTCAGCAGGGAAAGGGAGAAATGATCTCAACAGGGAAAGGGGTGGAAAAGATCTTAAGGAGGAAAGGGAGAAGATCTGGGGGAAAAAAGGCCAACAGGGAAAGGGGGGAAAGATCTAAGGAAGCAAAAGGGAGAAGCTCTCAGGGTGGAAAAGGCCTCAGGGGGGAAAGGGTGGGAAGGATCTCAACAGGGAAAGGGGGGAAACAATCTTAATAAAAAAAAGGGGGGGGAAGATCTTAGGGAGGAAACGGAGAAGATCTGGGAGAAAAGGACTTAGGGGGGAAAGCCCAACAGGGAAAGGGGGGAAAAGATCTTAGGAAGGAAAAGGGGGGGGAAAGGTCTTGGGAGGGAAAGGGGGGAAAGGATCTCAACAGGGAAAGGGTGGGAAAGATCTTAAGGAGGAAAGGGGGGGAAGATCTTAGGGAGGAAAGGGAGACGATCTGGGAGAAAAGGACTTAGGGGGGAAAGCCCAACAGGCAGAGGGGGGAAAAGATCTTAGGAAGGAAAAGGGAGAATCTCTCAGGGGGGGGAAAGGCCTTAGGGGGGAAAGGGGGAAGGGATCTCAGCAGGGAAAGGGGGGGGGGGGAAAGATCTTAGGGAGGAAAGGGAGAAGATCTGGGGACAAAGGCCTTAGGAGAAATGATCTCAACAGGGAAAGGGGTGGAAAAGATCTTAGGGAGGAAAGGGAGAAGATCTGGGGGAAAAAAGGCCAACAGGGAAAGGGGGCAAAGGATCTTAGGGAGGAAAAGGGAGAAGCTCTCAGGGGGGAAAGGCCTTAGGCGGGAAAGGGTGGGAAGGATCTCAACAGGGAAAGGGGGGAAACAATCTTAGGAAGGAAAAGGGGGAAGCTCGCGGGGGGAAAAAAGGCCTTAGGGGGGAAAGGAGGGAAAGGATCTCAACAGGGAGAGGGGGGAAAACATCGTAGGGAGGAAAAGGGAAAAACTCAGAGGGAGAAAGGGTCTTAGGGGGGAAAGGGGGAATGGATCTCAACAGGGAAAGGTGGCAAAAGATCTTAGGGAGGAAAAGGGAGAAGATCTCAGGGGGGGAAAGGCCTTAGGGGGGAAAGGGGGGAAAGGATCTGAGCAGGGAAAGGGGGGGAAAGATCTTAGGGAGGAAAGGGAGAAGATCTGGGGGCAAAGGCCTTAGGGGGGAAAGGGGAGAAATGATCTCAACAGGGAAAGGGGTGGAAAAGATCTTAGGGAGGAAAGGGAGAAGATCTGGGGGAAAAAAGGCCAACAGGGAAAGGGGGGAAAGATCTAAGGAAGGAAAAGGGAGAAGCTCTCAGGGGGGGGAAAGGCCTGAGGGGGGAAAGGGTGGGAAGGATCTCAACAGGGAAAGGGGGGAAACAATCTTAGGAAGGAAAAGGGAGAAGATCTGGAAAGGCCTTAAAGGGAAGGGGGGAAAGGATCTCAACAGGGAAAGGGGGCAAAGGATCTTAAGGAGGAATAGGGAGAAGATCTCAGCGGGGGGAAAGGCCGTAGGGGGGAAAGGGGGGAAAGGATCTCAACAGGGAAAGGGGGGGAAAGATCTCAGGGAGGAAAGGGAAAAGATCCCAGGGAGGAAAAGGCCGTAGGGGGGAAAGTGGGGGAAAGGGAGGAAAAGGGAGAAGATCTCAGGGGGGAAAAGGCCTTAGGGGGGAAAGGGGGGAAAGGATCTCAACAGGGAGAGGGGGGAAAACATCTTAGGGAGGAAAAGGGAAAAATCAGAGGGAGAAAAGGCCTTAGGGCGGAAAGGGGGAATGGATCTCAACAAAGAAAGGGGGGCAAAAATCTCAGAGGGGAAGGGGGCAAGGGGACAATTCCAAAGGGACGCAAATAAGAAAGCAGGCCTGTAATGTCGGCGGCCTGAGCCGGAGGCGTTAAAATCATATTGTGAATTGGCACACTCCCACGTTTCATTCCGTCTCTGTATCCTGCGGCATGCTAAGGTGGCAGCTGTTGCGGCCAATTCCACGCTGCCTCAGTCACACTTGGCCGCTGTCAGGCACAGAAAAGTAAGTCTCTTGTGCAGAAGAATCACCCAAATCATTCTGTCCGAATCGCTCAAAGGCCTGCCACTTCTCTACTGCTCAGAGGTGATTTCTTGGCGTCCGGCTTTCTTCACTTCTTGCATCAGATCTCCACAAGGAGACAGGCCTTCGGAAAGACTGTGCCATGAAATCTGGATTGGCAGACATACTTCCCTCGTTCCAGTTTCGGTTCGGCCGGCACCTGTCAGACCTGTGGCATGATAGGTAGCGCTATCTGTGCCTGCACGCAACCGCCTTTCAACATGTCCGACCTCCTAGGATCTCACTCCGACTCACAGGGTGAGAGTCAAGCAACCGTGCAGCCTTCCACACAGGAACGCTCCAGAGAAGGACAGCAAGGGAAGGACAAGCGCGGACCTTAGAAGGCGTGTGGGCTGCCTTGCCTCCGCAAACAGTGAATTGAGTCCTTCTGTCATTGCATCAACAGTATTCGGCGTTTTCAAGCTCCAAGCGCGGTTTGGACCTGTTAAACCAGGATATGCCGCGACGTATGCCAGAGACTTTCACTGCGACCCTACTTCACCTCCGCACTCAGCCCAGCACCAAGCGAGCAGTCCAGGAGCCTTAAATCTTGGATTCAAATCCATTTGGGCGTTCCAAAAAGAAGGGATCGCCGGAAATGGCAGGCTTCCTTTGGGCGCGTGTTGAAAAATCGCAAAAGGAGTTGCTAATTTTGGCACATCAAGTTTCTCTAGCAAATCCACAGAGTGATTGAGGCCCTCGCACGTCTTCTGGCCCTCTGGGCCAACCTCCACGCTGAGTTCTTGCAACCAACTTCGGCCAACACATCCAGTTTTTCTTGGATGGCGTTTGAAGCGGAAACCAAACGGAAAACGGCCAAGTTTCGGGGCTTGAACTCATGGAAGCATGCGTACGCGAAAAAGCTGAAAGGCAAACAGGGACCTACGAACAGTCGCCCCTGAAACTGCTTCCCCCCCCGCGATTCCTTCCATTTGGGGTGTCCGGTGCCTTTATTGTGAAGGGAAACAAAGAGACACCGCCCTGCTTTGGTTCCGACACCAACCTCCCTGTTCGGGTGTTTCCGGGCAGCCGCACCTGCGCGCGGACATCACCATGGAGCGCGCGCCAGCCTGGCCCACGCTGAGTCACTGAACATGTTGGAAAACGGTTGTATGGGGAAGAATGGGAGCTTTCACAGACAAATTTGCCAAGTTGTTTGGGCGGGCCAGGGCGTTAATTACCAACCACCCCACATCTGCCTGTTGAATGTGCTTTTTTTCGTGCCATTCTTGAAGTGCAGAAATTATTGGCACCCTTTCTTGTTTAAGCACATCTACCGGTGAGGAGATTAGTGAGTCCGCCCTGTCCTGCCCATGGACTACTTGTTATTTTGACCGAACCTCATATCCTGTTGAAAAACAGTGGGGCTCAAATACGGCTCATGTCTCAAAATCAAGCATCCCGTGTCCCCAATTAGGGTTTGTTGATCAAAAACAAAGAGGAAACAAATCACCCAACCTCAATTTGAGACACGGCCACATCGCATCGCAGTGCTCGGCTTTCCTGATTCACCGAGCCGTGTTTTGAGCCCAACTGCTGGCACCTCACATTGCTCCTGGTAAGTGTCTCTGCTCCGCACTCGCTGAGTCAACTAGTTCTTCGAGTGGGAGCTTACACCCTTCTGATAGATATCACGGAGACAGCTGGGCACACTTCACAGAACGCCTGAAATGAGAGAATGGAAAAATGAGTAGCCTGCTCTGATTCGCTCCTCTACTCACTCGCCTGCCGGGGCTCGCCAGGTCTGCAAACGATGGCAGGAAAAGTGGCACTTGAGCCAAGCGGACCATCGGAACAAGGGGATGCGAAGAGGCACAAGGCGCGCATCGAGCATGGAGCCACAACATTTTTGCTGAGCGTACTGTAAGTCTTTAAAGGACTTCCCTGGCTGCTGGCCAAACTTCAAATCATCGTCTCTGGCCTCGCGACAGCACAACTGCCACGGATTGAACAACTCAGTACTCGGTCCTTTCAGACAGCCACGTCTGGATGCCTTTGTTCTTCTCCACCTTGCTGACGATAGCCTGTGTTTCCAGCCGCTGCGAGGATTGGGACCCCTAGGTTGACTGCCTTCAACTTTGGGCATTCGCCATATGCAGCGGACACATCAGCATCATAAGTGTCCTCACGAGGCTTAAAGCCAGGCATTCAAGATTTGCTCAAAGATAAGTCCTTCAAGAGCTTGAAAATTGCAATGTCGGCCAGCGAAACCTGGACGATCAGTCATTGGCGGAGAGCTAGTTCACTGCAAGTTCTAAAATGCACCCATACTGATGACACGTAGTGACTCGTGCGGCAAGCGGCAGTATCAAAGTGGCAACGGAGGCTGAAGCTGAACATGCTGAACAAGAATATTCACGCTTCTTACAGCAAAGTTGATTTGCATGGGGAGGCCACACGTGACAATCAAACAGAATATGACAGGTCCTTGTTTTGGACAGCTCCAAAGCGAGCCATCGGCGAAAGTCGTTTTGTCTCGGATCGCCTTCTCGCCAACCGCAAAGCCGTCGCTGCCGGGCAGCGCCGTCTCCAATTTACTCAACAGCAGCGGCAGCTCCTTGTGCAAAGCAGCGAATTGCATGGGGTGGGAGCTTCTTAAAGCAAAGAAAAAGAAAGACAACCATTGGGGTTCAGTTCCTAGGAAGCCGCATGTGGACTCGCCTGAAGGGTGTTTTGTGCTTCCAGGACGACCCGCTGCTGGCGGGATTGACTCCCCTGAATAGGAACCACATTGTGTCAGCAAATTTACATGGCCTCTAGCAGGTGCTTTCCGGCTTCAATGTCAACGTGCAAAACTCGAAAACTCTCAAGAAACTGGACAGTGAGCAGAATCCCTGTGGAGTCACTCGACCATTTGGCTTCTGCGGTGCCTCCTCGTACCACTTCTTTTGTAGCTCCTTCGGTCAGAGTCATGGAATCATCGCTGTGAGCACATCGAGCCAATTTTTCAAGCGAGGTGCTGCCTTCTTTTCCTGGTCCTTCATGAAAAACAAACCCTTTCTGGAATACGCCTGAGAAGCTCAGCATTTGAAGCACCATGAGTTACAACCCGAGTCCGAAAGGGTGTGCTCCAACACATGTGCTGCACTCGCGTGGATCAAGGGCGTGGCATCATTGATGTCGCGTACGTGCTCGGCCATGGCATCGACTAGGGCCTGGCGCTGGTCATTTCGGCATGATTTTATAATTGGAACACTGTCAATAGTCGATGGACGTAAATGCCCCGGTCGATGAAGTCCACCAAAGGGTTCCTAATCAAAATTATTGAAGGTTCATATCCATTTTGAGGAGTGTGCTCGCATACCCGTAGATGACAAACACAATCGGAGCAGCTGGCATGCGATGTCTACGATAGGGAAAGTGACCCAGTCATTGCCCTGTGGACATGAGCACCGTGCCTCCTCCATTGGAGTTGAACCCATCATACCAAGTTCCCGAGCCTGACTCATATTGGTGTCGACAAACCGTCGTGACAACAGTCAGGACGGAGTGAAACATGTGCTAAGCAAGCTGGGCGAAACTGCGTTGCCCACAATCCATGAAGTCTCTCTTGGAAGCCACACACAACACGCCTGATTCTCTCACCTAGGAAGTCCTTCAGAAGTACCTACCCTCTGAAGTCCTTGCAGAAGGCGTCTCGTTCTCGTCTTCTAAATTCGATGGGCTGCTTCAAGCCCAAGGCCAAGCCTAAGGCCGCGCTGAGTTCAAGGCCAAGTATCGCTCGATTGCCTTGCTTTGAGGCAGGGAGAAGCCGTCCACGTCCAGTACGGGAACCTGCCAATGCACCAAAGGAATTACATTTAGCCAGTTTCTTTTCGGGAATAGTTGCTTCGTGTCGGATCTCAAAATTTTGGTTGTAGCATTTGTCGCAACTCACAGAATTGGAGCCAAACACATACTTGACCATCGGCCTAGTTTGCAGACTTATGCTAATTGGGATCCCACCCCCTGGGTGCTCTTTCATGTAGTGGAACAGCTAGCGCCTTGCCCATGGAGATGTCCATTTTCCCGGCGTCGCGGTCCTCCTCAAACTCCTGGCCGATCGCTCCAAGGTGCAGCTTGCACTTGCGGGTCGCTTGTGCGGCGTGCTTGTCTACCAGCAATCCCTCTGACCCCTCTTAGACTCTGGTCGTGGGAGATACTCCACAGGATGGCAAAGGCTGTCCCGCTTAAGCTTGTCAGACGGAACTCTTGGCGGCCCTGTTTCTTCAACATTGGCCGGTGCAGATCTGTACAATCCCCTCATCAAGGGATGGCACTGCAAAGGCACTGGGACACGTTAATCATCCGCTCATCCCACTTTCGGAGAGGCGGGCAGCCACCTCGCCGAGGAACTCTTCATGCCTGCAGAGTGGGCAGAAGGCCCGGCCGTGCATCAGCTGCGACCAGGTCTCCCAGCACTCCTTGCAAACCTTGTGGCAGCAGCCCAAGGTGGCAGCTGCATGCTCACCTTCTGCTTCGAAGGGTTCCAGGCAAACCGGACACTCCTGCTGGTCGTTCTTCGCCAGGAACTCCAGCTTCTTCTGAAAATCCTCTAAAATGCGTGCCTTAGCTCCAAGAGAAAGCAAGGACGACAAGCACAAACTTCGCAGTGCGCTCAAACAGTCTTAACTCCTAGCTGCCATGCTGACGTTGTTCCTTTCGGCCTGCTTCATCATGTGGAAGACAAACCACTCCCGGGCCTCATCGGGGATGCCCATAGCCTCTGTGGAGTCAATGCCTTTCACCCGTTTGCCCATGTCCTCGCTTTCAGTTCACGCCACCAAAACACCACAAACGAAAGGTGAGCCGCTTGGGACGTACAACACCAGAAGACCAAAAGCTCAAAAGGGTGGTGCGCTTGGGACAGGTGTCAGCTGCCACTGACTCTGGCACCGTGGAGCAGGTCTCCTCGTGAAACGTCATCAGGGTGCCGCGCATCTCAGGGTCGCAACTCAACTCGTCCGCTGGCCCGCCGATGGGGGAAACCAAATATCAAAATTGAGGAAAGCGCGAGGAGGGACACATCAAAACAGCCATTGAAGCCGCCCCGGTTGCACTCGTTACATCTCATTGCACGTGCAGTGACACTCGACAATCTCAAAGCGGGCTCCTACCTGGTTCCCTGTTTGCTCAGAACACACCACTTCCCCGGCCTGCTCCACCTCTTGCGCGTAACCCTCCTCGGCTGCTTAGCCAAACAAGGCCCAACAGCTTCATCTTTCCGACCCAGATTGAATCGGCCCCGCTTGCTGCATCCATTAAAAGGGCGGGGAAAAAAGTTCAAGGGAGCAGACAATGTTCAGACTGCTCCCCAAAAGGAATGCAAAGGACGTGTGAATTTGGCGGGCCTCTAGGTGTTCAATGTGGGATTTGGTGCGATCCAGGCTTGCTTTCTGCAAAAAGAAACCAAACTACCTTTTGGTTTTGCCTTGCGTCCGGCAAAAGCGCATGCCACCGGCAGATTGTCCGCATGACCGCCCGAAGACACAAGGAAAAGCAAAGGAGCTGCAATCTCAAGGCGCGTGCGCGACGCAAATTGCACAACTCCAGGAGCAACAGACCGGACTTGATGCTTGTCCTACGCCCATGATTGCGCATTTCGAGTCGTGGCGAGCTTCTCCCCCATTATTGTAGCTTTGTGAGAGCTTCAGGGTGAAAGGGTTGTCACGACATGTCATCTGACTTTGACAACTTTGTAGGCATCATGCCCACGATGCAGACCACCATGTTCAGCCTGTCCTTCGCATGTTCATGCACTATGATCAGGCATGGTCCGTCATGGCAATCCCGAAATCAATGGAAACCGCACCGCTGGAAGGTCTCGGGCCACAAGTGCTGAGAATAGACTACCAAGTACTACCAAGTACCAAGAACATTGTCAGCTGCTGTCAGTCAAGTGTCGTACAGCATAAACTTCGCTGCACACTCGTTCGCATCGGCTGGCTCCGAGCGTAGCTGTGCCAGCAGCGCATCTACTCCTGATGACAATGTGACAAGCAGCTTCAAAAACATTGCCCCAACCCAAGAGCCGTGCACAAATGCGCTTTGTGAATTGAGGTGCGTGCACATGTTGGAGACTTTCACAAGCCATACCGGCAAAAGGTCAAAATACTGCCATGGGCCATGGACTTTAGAAGACAGAACAAAAACTGAACCCTGGCCTCCAGACGATGGGCGAGCACCGTCTTCAAGGCCCTCATTGCCCAGGGCACTCAGAGCTACCACGTCAGCGCCCATGAGATCCGCCGCTTCGGCCATAGCACCGTCCTCCTCATCATCCAGAACCTCCGGAGCCCTTGGCGCTTCCATCTGCTCGTAGAACTCGCTCACGTGCCTGGTGGAGTGCTCTTGTGCCGACTTCCACCTGGCCTGGACGGCCATGTGCTCTGACGCGGGCGCGGAAGACATCTGCCTCAAGCCCTCTGCTGCAAGCGCCCTAGAAAGGATCGAATGGTTCTTCGCGGCTTTGCACTTGCGAGACTGCCGCTCGTGGTCGCGCGCAGACTCGATGCGCTTCTTTGCAGCCTCCCACTCCTCGGGGTTTCGCTTCATCTGCGCCTCGTGCACGCGCCTTGCCCACTCAGCGCACATCTCGGAACTTCGGGGAGCCATGGTCTTGGACATCTGGCCTACGCGCCTATGCGCCTATGCCCTATGCTCCTATGCTTCTGCAGAGCACGCTTGGTCCAGCAGCTTGTCAGAGCACAATTTGATCCAAGCAAAAAGCCAGCACCTGCCAATCATGAGGTCATGCTGACAAGAACTGGCTTCTTCTGTGGGGCTGTGAGAAGCACGCAGCGTGTGCTTGCGGGGATGATTCCAACCCCAATCTTGTGCGGGGCGGCCTTTGACATTCCCTGTTTTTGGAAGCTTCGATGGTAAGAGGGCTTCACAGACCTCATCTCCAAGCTCCTCATGGGCAAAGACACAACGCAGCCCTTGCCTTCCGGATGATCGTTGAGAAGTCGCCCGGCGTCCCGAATGAAATAGGATAGCGCAGATCCTGCAATTGATCATGTCAAACTAGTTGTTCGATATTTTGCAAACTTAAACAATAACCAAGAAAGTTGTTGCAAAGGAAGGACCTGTGCAGATACGTAACAGCCTTCCAATCCCATGCGCTGGATGGCCTTGTACTCTTTGCCGGCAGCTGCAAACAGCAAGCGTACTGTCCTCATTGACAATGGCATGGAGGGGGCATGAGTGCATGTTGCAACGAGCTGCGCTGTCTTGCGTTTGGGTGCTGTGCTCCGATCATTTGCCGGCGCCTTTCGCCCTGAAACACTGACAATGAGTTGCATCAGTTCACTCGGGTTCTCGGAAAATAATCTTCCCTGGTGGCCGAGCACGCGCTCCCCAAAAAAGCTTTCCCACGTTCAAGCCATGCTGCAACCTGGTATGCCCGGTGCACGCAGAAGGGCAACCCGTTGCAACTTCCCGAATTTCCTTTCCGAGCGGCTCCGCAGCACCGCGGGCATCGAAGTATCGCAGAGTCAAACCTTCACGATTGGGCTTGCTTTTGCACCTGTGACTCACTTGTAGGGACAACCATTCTATCACTCCTCGCCGCCAGTTTTTCAGGGAGTCTGCCCTCACCACGTCAGTGCTGAGATGAGTACCAGCATTGCGCGGAATACCGGACTGCCGCGCACGATGCTGAAGGCCAACAAAGTCTTTCAGTTCCTGGTGGCGACATACCCCTCTCCCTTTCAGATGTCCCTGTGCACGAAATAAATAGCTTCACATTATTTCGTGAGCGATCTCACTTGAAAATCACAGCTTGGCCTGAACAAAGCCATGTTCAAAGAATCCAATGGGTGCCTACACTGATAGATTCATGATCTATCATGGCCCCTCCCCAAAAATTATCGAACATCTTTCCAAACACCTAGCGCGAGGCCTGCCAGGGCAACAGCACTGCTGCCACCAGTAGCAGCCCAAGCCTCTCATGCTATGCGCACCCCCCTGCTTCTTGAAAATTGCTGGATATAGATGTCTCCAAATGGGGGAACCTCCAGCTCTGGTGTTCCACTTTGATTCTGCATTCACTTTGATCTGACCTCAAGAAGGTTGCCCTCACAAAGAGCAGCGGCCACATCTCGGTCACACTTTTCAAACCATTGATGATGCAACACAAGCCCTCTTTCTTAACACTACTCATCTATCTCACTTGAATTCGCTTCGCTCCTCATGTTGCTCCTGTAGAACTGTGAGCCCAAGTGCCAGGCCTTCTGCTCCGCATGTCAAGCGCTTGCCTTTTCTAAAAGGTCTGTTCAATCCCTTGAGCCCGAATGACATAGTCCAACAGCTTCAACTCGCTCATAGCATCAGTGTGCACGCAAGCACGATTCGCCAGGCTGCAGCAAAAGCACTAGCCCCTTTTTGGCAAAATGAGCAAAATACAGCGCTCAGGTGGCCGGGTTGTGGTTTGGAACAAGTTTCCACTGTCCGCCAACTGTGCCTGGATAGACAGCACGAGCCTCTTAAGCTCCCGCTGCGAGCCAAACAGTTGTTCAGGCACAACCTGTACGAAGGTGCACCACTCCGCGAGAGCTGAGCGTCAAAGTGAGGCCATGCGCAGGCATCGCGCACAAGTCTCAAGCTCAGCACACTTCGCTTGTGGAAAACGGGATGCACGAAGAGCTCTGTCGACGCCTCTTGGCACTCTGCGACATTAACAGACAAAAATATGGAAGTTTCCTCAGACATGCGCGGCCTCCATGCAGGATCGGGAGACATTTCAGTTCAAGGCAAGGAACATCAAGCGGCAAACCACACACCTCTGTGAATGTACCTCGAGATCAGATATTGAACTGAACAAATTGAATGTGAGGCAAGCCGCCTCATGCAGTTCCTCCAGTTCCGGCTCCAACCAGAGACTTGACACGACTCTTCACCTGAAGACCCACAAGGCACCAACCAGCAGGCCGGCTTCTTGCATTTTGGTCAGGCCTGCTCAGCCGAGTCCATGCCCTTCTTGTGCAGGTAACTGGCTGACCTCAGCCCAAACAGGTTCTTCCAACACAGCGGGGTCCAAAAAACTGTGTGGTCTCCTTTGGCTTCTTTAACGAACTCCCAACACCATCAAGGAGCCCGCGCTTCTGGACGCCTCTTTGGCGTGGCGAGCCTTGCTGAGTCTCGAAGGGCCCGCACTTTTGGATCTCCTCGCGGTAGGTGAAGCCGGCAAAGCCCACTGCGCCACCTCGCCCAAAGCGGGAGTGTGCGACTTGCGAATTCGACATTGGAATCTGCTCTCTTGACTTTGATAAAACAGAAGCACTGTCGGCCTTCCAGAGCGGACCACTCCGAGCACCGGACCGCCCACAGCACCGGCTCCTCCTGCAGTAGTCGCCCCTGCCACCAGTCCGATGGTGGCACCCACCGGGATGGACAGACCGAAAGTGAAGATGGCTGGCACCTCGCTCCGTCCCAGCCCAGAACGCAAAGCCAGGTGGCTGTTCGGTTCCCCCGTGGTCGGAAATCAAAAGCCATCCCGAAAAAATGGGACTTTGAAACCCAACGGAAACTGAAAAGCCACCTGAAGAGGGGGCTCCAGCGTCTGGCCGATCATCCGAGCTTCAGGCCATGCCGACGGCTCCTCCTGCCAGCGCACCACAGGCGCCGCCGGTGGCCGTGCCCACTGCTCCACCCAGCAGGGCAGAGACAGAGGAGACACCAGTGCGAGTGCTGGTGGCGTAGGTGAACGCGTCACCAGCCTATGAAATGCAGAAATCAAGCGCGACCCTGAAGCAGCTTTGCAACAAGCACGCCTTGACACAGCGTGGTGCAAACTTCTTGCATGTTTGGGCGTGTTTGGGTTGGATCCGATGGCAACGCTAACTACTTCCGGGACGAAATCGAGGATATGCGAATCTCGCCTTGGCCTTCACCAGCTTCACTGCCTCTGTCGACTTCTCCTCAATGGGTGGAACATTGTGGAACATGTGGTTGGGTCTCGGAGTGGCGAAAGTGTCTGAAGTACTTCCATCATGGCTCCAAACCTGGAAAGCCGCAAAACTGGAGGGGGACCTTACTCTAGGATTTGGCAAGTTTGGCAAGTGTCCTTGGCCAGAGCGACAGTCACGTTTGCCTGGCGTCGAAGCGTGGACTTGGTTGACACGGGGTGTCCTCAGACAGAATCTTTAGAGGAAACACAGCCGGAAATGTTCACCACCTGGCTCATGCAAAACGCCGGGCACATGCTCCGCCTTCTCTCGAGCTTGGGCCGCCGTCGACTCAATCGCCAGCTTGGTGCGGGAGGCGGTGCCTGGCACACGGAGCCATGTGGAGTCCTGGTCTCAATAGGTTTGAGGGGCTTCCTCTTTGGGGTCCTTTGGGTTGACCCGCTTTCAGGGATCCAGAACGGATCCCTAGCTTTCCTTCTTGCAGGTCATACTGGAAGCTTCGACCCATGGGCTTAAGGATGTGTTCTCAGGACTCCTGCCAGATCCAAGCAGAACGCACGAATTTCACTTGCTAATTCTAGCCACTTTGTCTAGCCCATCTTAATGTCTCGCCCAAGTTAGATGCGCCTTTGGCTTTGTCGCGGCCAGCTTCAAAGGCATTCAGGGCCTCTGTACAGCTGCGCACAGATCAGGCATGTGCACGGAGGCTTGCTGCGCCTTGACCTTGACTTGAATGACCCCATCCTTGATCTGCACCTCGTGGCAGAGTCGCCAACAACCGTTGTAGCCTGTTTTGAAAGGATTGAGGACAAACAATTGTTCACAGTGCCAGTGACTCTTCGTTTCTGGCTCACGTGAATGCAAGTCCAACTCACATACGAGTAAACCCCGTGGTAGCTTGTATCCAATGTTGTCCCTATCCGTCGCTTGAGCCCGGTGCTCGGTACTTATAGAGGCAGAAGCCCCCGGCACCACCAGCGGTACTGCCGGCGGTGGTGCCAATCAGGAGGCCTGCAGAGGGCACGTGATGCAGCGGGAAGAAGACGCTTGTTTGTGTGTTTCTTTTGTTCTTTCGTATAGGACTCCACGTTGCTCAAGTGCTTCCCTCCTTCATTCTGGCTTTTTAGAATTAAACTCACCCCCTAAGAGTAAGGGGAAACAACCCGAGTTTCTGGTTATGGCCCCAGAGCCGTGAAACAAAATGACACGCCTCCGGCTTCCCCCGAAATCCCACCTGCGGCCCCGCCGCAGATGGCGCCCGCTGGAATGGACAGGCCGAACCTGAGCGCGTCCGAATGACAATGGGTTTAAAGCTGTGTAGATGGCAAGGTGCCTTGAATGTGGGAGTGTTTCCTCTAGAAGTCCTGTCAAAGCCGCAATGCTTTGCCCAAGCATTATTCTTCTGAGGGGTGCCTCAGTTTGGTTCTGCATTGTCAGTATCAGCGCCTCTGCACAGCACTGGCTGCATCCCCAGCATCACCGAGACTCGGTTTTGAGCTCGGATGTACTTGTGGGACCCTCGCTGCATCACCAGCATTCAGAGGTGAAACCGGAAGCCCGCCACTTCATGTGGGTGCTCGCCACATGGCGCATGGCCAGCATGGGGGGTGCTGAGACCGGATGTGCGTTGACTTGAAACACAAATCATCCAAAAAAGCACACGATCGCCATGAAAACTGTGTTGGAAATCCCTCAACCAAAAATAGATGTAATGACGAAGGTTGATGTTTCTACTACCACATTAACCATAGATTTCAGGATCGGGACGCAAGTAATGTTGGCTCTAAAGTTTGCAGCTTGACTTTGTTTATGAGAAGCGAAGAAAGGTAAGCTGTCCTGTTTTAGGGTTCGGATGTGGGGGAACATTTGGGATCCCTCTCCCTGCTTCACGGCCCTGGGCAACATTGTGCCTTGGCAAAGCCACTTTGAAATGAGCTTTGCTCTGCAGTCTGGCTCCCTGCCGAGCCCAGAAAGTATTTGGGACGTCAAGGCCAAAACGACTCATGACGTGGCTTGTCTCAAGATGGGTATGGGTCAAAATTAAACACCAGGGACCGCTGGCTTTAGTCCATGTTTCCATTTACCATGGTTCCATTGTGGGTACCTATTTTTGACCCTCAGCCAAATGTGCGGGGTCCCCGAAACGGAGGCCTTGGGGCGCCGGGCGTGGCCAGGGCCGGCGCCACCCCGGCCGCGGAGCCCAGCACCACGCCGGTGGCAATGCCAAAGGCGCCCCCGCAGGCGCCGAGGACGATGACCTCCAGTCTATCTACATACATATATATATACACACATTATATACAAATATATATATATATATACCCAGAGGCTCGTGGGCCCTCCTAGGGAGGGTCCGGGGCCCTATTAGGGAGGGACCGGCCTGTTTGTCGGATACGGGGCCCTCGTGGGCCCCCAGTGCAATCCGGACGGGATCAATGGATCGCTGATCGACCAAAATGGCCTCGAACCACACCTCCCCTATCCGACGGCTATCCGACGGCTATCCGACGGCTATCCGACGGTTATCCGACGGTTATCCGATGGTTATCCGACGGTATCCGACGCCGGGCCCTCGTAGACCCTCAGTTTTGGGGGCCCCGGCCCAATTATCCGACGGTTATCCGACGGCTATCCGACGGCCATCCGACGGTTATCCGATGGCTATCCGACGGCCATCCGACGGTTATCCGACGGTTATCCGATGGTAATCCGAAGCTTGTTTGCAGCCCAAAGGCCCCTAACAAAAAACCAGCCCGAAACCTCCTACGACCGCAAGGGCCCGCGAGGGCCCAAGGGCCCGAAACATGAGTTGGGAGGTATTAGGAGTAAGAGATTCTGGTCAACATTATGTGTTGGCTGATGGTTGTTGTCGGCAGTTGGATTTTTTTTTAGGCTGTCACTGGCCGCTTGGTCGGGCTGCTGATTCTCTTGAAGTGGGATGTTTGTGGTAGGGCTGTGTGGATGTCGCTTTCTTGGCGCAGTTGCTTTTCTTCAGGGCCTGTCGCTGGCCTGCTTGGTCCGGCTGCTGCTTTTCGTGAAGCAATATTTTTCCGAAGGGCTTCTAGTTTGCTTGTTCTGTGTGGCTGCCGTTTTTGTTGGTTGTTGTGCAGTTGGTTCTTTTCAAGGCCTGTCACTGGCTTGCTTGGTCGGCCTGCTGCTTTTCGTGAAGTGTTTTTGTTTCCCTTGGGTTTTCTTTGTGGCTTGCCGTTTGTTGTGCAGTTGGTTCTTTTCAAGGCCTGTCACTGGCTTGCTTGGTCGGCCTGCTGCTTTTCGTGTTTTTTTTCAGTATAGAGATTGTTGTTTTTTGCTTGCTGTCTGTGGCTGCCGTGTTTTGGTGAAGTTGGATTTGTTTCAGGGCCTGGCACTGGCCTGCTCGGTCGGGCTGGTGATTTTAGCAAAGTGGGATTTGTTGTAGGGCTTCGAATTTGCTTGTTGTGCTTGAGTGCCACTTTTTTGGTGCAGTTGGATTTTGTTCAGGGCCTGTCACTGGCCTGCTTGGTCGGCCTGCTGCTTTTTGTGAAGTGGGATTTTTCCGGAGAGCTACTAGTTTGCTTGTTGCGTGTGGTGCATGTTTTTTTGTGCAGTTGGATTTGTTGCTCAGGGCTGGTCATGGCTGCTTTGTTGGGCAGTGCTTTTATGAAGTGGGATTTATTTCGTAGAGTTTCATTTGCATGTTGTCACGTGGCTGCCTGCCATGCTTTTTGTGCATGTGTAATGGCTGTTAGTCAGGTGCTATTTTCGTGAGTGGGATTTTTTAAGTAGGGCTTCTTAATTTGTTTTTTTGTGTGTGGGTGGCTCTTTTTTGTGGCAGTTGTTTTTGTTTCAGGGCTGTCGCAGTTGCTTGGTGGGCTGCTGCTTTCGCGGTCTTGTTTTTTTGTTAAAGGCTTGCTGGCTTTGTTTGTTGTGGTGGGCTGCATTTTTTGTTTATTGCGCAGTTGGTTTTGCTCGGGTGTCACTGGCCTGCTTGGTCTGCTGTTTTTCGTAAAGTTGGATTTTTTGCTTTTTAAGTAAGAGTTGCTAATTGCTTGTTGTCCGTGGCTGCCGTTTTTTTTCAGGGTCTGTCGCTGGCCTGCTTGGTTGGGCTGCTGCTTTTCGCAAAGTGTTTTTCCGGTTTCTAATTTGATTGTTGTCTTTGCCTGCCTGTTTTCGGCAGATGTTGTTGGCAATCTTGCTTGCGAAGAGCTGTTGCCTCACGCAGGGCGGTGGGCGGTGGACGGTGGGCGGGACATGCGGGTCATCAGGCGGGCCATGCAGGCCACAGCCGGACCAAGCAGGCCAGTGACGCTGAAAAAAAACAACTGCGCCAAGAAAGCGGCATCCACACAGCCCTACCACTTCAAGAGAATCAGCAGCCCGACCAAGCAGGCCACTGACAGGCCTAGAAAAATCCAACTGCACAAAAAACATGGCAGCCACACACAACAAACAAAATAGAAACTCTACTCCCAGACGCTCCCAACTCATGTTTCGGGCCCTTGGGCCCTCGCGGGCCCTCGCGGTCGTAGGAGGTTTCGGGCTGCTTTTTTTGGGGGCCTTTGGGCTGCAAACCACCTTCGGATTACCATCGGATAACCGTCGGATAACCGTCGGATGGACGTCGGATAGCCGTCGGATAACCGTCGGAT